TTTCCATGAAACATTTTTACACCGTTTATGATGTGTATAGATTGGATACTCTCCGATATTCTTTTACGGAATAAATTAATTGACAGCATTTCTAAGACATTGTCGTAAATGTTATGTTGATACAGCATTCTAAGTGGATTCTTAAGCATGCCTCTTTTTGCGGTATTGGAATCTTTGAAACATCTCAGTGATAGACATCTCACTGACATCAGGTGCTGTTGTGCTAAAAATGTTAACAGGTAAAATCTGTGGAAAAATCTTTACATTTGTTATACTTTGTATAATAATGATAGATGAAATACTAACATAGTTAATCTTTCTAGTGTTTTGTATTAAAGATAAACACCCTTGTATATGATTTAGAGATATAAGGATAATTTGAAGCAGCAAAGTATTTACCACCTTTGTTCACAATGATATGTAAAATTACATTATCTTTAAATGTTAAAAATACTCTTTTATTCAAAATCTCCCAATATATTTAGAATAGTTGCTAATTGAAAATATGACATTATTCATCTTTCTTTGTCCTGTTAGGGAGAAGATAACTTATCTTCTAGTTATTATTGGCTTAAAATACCAGAAACCCCCAAAAATTGAAAACATTTTTTTTACCAAGATCTGACAGCCATTGTGGAAAGTCACGTTCGTGAGATTGGATGCTTAACAATGTGAATCTTAATTGTTTAAGTATATTTACCAGCGGCTTTTAGGTGTAGCTTAAGATGATTTGGATTTTTTATTATTTCTAAAAGTGAGTTAAGAAAGCACTCAGATACAATATTGAAGGTATTTATAGTTTAGCTCTACCTTTGTATAAGTGGTTTTAACACTTCCATAACAATAGATATCAGAATCTGTTGTAACTATAACTGGTTTAAGTGGGGATAAGTTACAATCAGAATATGAATTAATAATCATATGCATGATGCATTGATTAAACAATCAATAGATGTGGCAGGATCATTACCACAAGGTACATGTACCTTTAACCATCACAAACCAAATAAAATTTTCTTGGTATTTGAAAAACTGATAAAATATTTGATTACATGTATTTTAATATATATATATAGAGAGAGTGGCATGGATGTTGAATTTATATCTTTGACATCTTTTCACCAATTTGCAATAGGTGACCTAAATGATCAATTTCCAAAGTAATCATGTATATCACCTGGACGGGTTAATCCATAATACTCTTTTACTTTCCATTGACTGGCCTTAGCTCTGGCAGACTGAACATTTTTATCATTGTAAATAAAGGTTTGTGATAAGTGAAGTGACGTTTCTGCCTGTCTTTCAGTAAAATTTTAACTGTTGAAGTACTTCACTTGTATTAATTATACCAATCTGCAAACTTAAACGAATATCAAGTAGTTTCTGATTTAATAAAAACATTTCACATTTTCTTTTAAGGTTAAAACATTATTCATTATTGCAGTTGTTATTGTAATCATTGAAAGGCTAAACTGATGACTCGATCCCTTCTGGTCATGGTTCTCCAACCCTCGATTGTCACCTGAGCTCAGGGAAGAATTATGGAAGCAGAATAACGAGACAGACACAAGATTGCTTTCCAAAAGTCTTCTGACAATGTATTCAAAATGCTCTGTACTTATACAATATTTGTCACCAACATTGGTTACAGAAAGTTACACAAGATACATAAAAGAGGAAGTAGTTTCTGCTGTTACATTCAATAATCTGATTTTACAAATATCACATGTACATTGTGGTTAGGCATCTCCTGATACATAGAAACTGTCATAGCTTGTGACTTCCTTTGAGTTATGTTTTGTAAGCAGTTCTAAAAAGAGCTTGCTACTACATTTACAAAATAATTCATTTCTACAATACTAACAGATTAACTTTTTTAATTCCTTCATTTTCCCCTCTTTGAGCAATTATCTTGCTCATACCCTATTTAAGGAGTCCTGGTCAGACAACTAGCCATCTGCCATGGTATATTCAGGATTGCTAGCCAATTCTGCAGGTCTTTTATTATGTCTTCGGCCACTATTTCCATAGCATAAGACTAGGCATTCGACCAGTACCATAAACTTATATTCATCATAGCAAGCTGGGGATTTTGCAGGAACAGTGTTGCGTGTATGTTTGTAAATGCAGAATACAATAGTCTTAAAAATAGCATAAACAAGTAGAGCAAGGACCAGAACCATAACAATAATTATTGCCAATAGTTGACATGTTAATCAATTTTAAACAGACTAACCAGCTACCAGATACAATCTGTATCATAAACCCTAGGTAAATATGGGCAAAGTATATTATTCCCAACAGTTGTTTTCCTCCTTCGTCCACGGAAGTGGGCGCATACAGTCAAAGTGGGAATAATACCTATCCCCCGTCCAATGACCAGGGTCTAGGATTACCAGTCCACCCGATGATCTGGGGCCAGGCAAAAACCCAGTGGCAAAAACTCATATTTGAGGAAAAAGCACATCTAGGGAAAACCTGAGTGGGGACCGCGATCGTGTTAGACATGTCATCCCCTCACAGTTGACACCACTTATGACTTATAATACCCGCACCTGTGAGTACATAGCTCGGGTATTGGGAGGAATTGGGAAACACTTCTTACATATTAATTCATGAGATAAATTATAATCTAGCTTGAAATTCTGACAATAATCACAACCAGGACCTTGCGTCCTATATCTTTTAACCATTTCCCTATTCCAAAGGTCCAGTCAAAACTAGTCATATCCTCACGCAGTTCCTCAAAACATGGGAATCCATCCATGGCACACTCAACATATATCAAAAACACACATAGTACATCCATCCCTCGGTCAGCTAACACTTCCTCTCTCTCCGGCTAACTCTACAAAAATAAAAATAGTTCAATAGTTCAGCATAGTTCAGAAAAATAGAATAAGTCTTTCATAGAGTATAAAGAAATCAGTTTAGACACCAGACATTTTGTTCCATAAAATGGCTAAGGGTAGCAATATGGCTGACAACAAGACCATGTCAGCTTCCACATGGTTCTTATTTTGTTTGCTGGATTTTTACCACAATGATCTGTGCAACACCCCAATGGTTGAAAGGGTTATTACAGAACCAGCGGTATTAGACAGAACTGCACCTTCAGGACTTTCCAGTTTCTTGCGTGCAAAGTTTATGTCCTCATAAAAAAGTATCTCGGTTTCCTCGGCCTGCATGGATAATGACCAAACAGATGTAATTGCAAAATACTTATTGCATGGTTAGCCAGAGAGATTGGTGTGTAGTCCCAGAAATCAGGCGGCAAACACTCCAGGATGGTCTCTACAATCATACAAACATAAGGATCAATACAAAATCAATTAATTAACTACCTAGGCTAAAACTTAAATTAGAGATTAAGGTTAAACCCTTAATTTGTGTAACATGTACTTCTCTTATATTTGCTTATATTTTATGCAATCTGTCTTCTATCAAGTTTTACATAATACCCCTTTGGAATGCCTTTGTATGGATCAGAGAAGCACTCACTCTATAGAAATGCTTGTTAGGATGAATATTACAACACTAACATATACATATGGGGATAATTCCCAATAGAACTCTATTCCTAAACTTGAACCTTGATTTGATACTCAAAATTAATTACTTTAACAATCCCAAAAAATTCAATACTCTTGGATTAACACCTAAAACTATATAAAATATTAAAACCATGAACCATCTGTGTATTATGCTGGGGTTGTTAGGTGTGGGTATAGATTGGAAGCTGTGGTTGGTATTGAGGAATCTGTGGGGGTGGGTTTGGGCACTAATTTTTTCAGTGACCCTGCTATTCACAATTGCTGTATCTTCCCAAAATAATCATTTGGGGTCAAAAAGGGCCAGTCACAGACCAACAAGGAACAAAAGTGAACAATGAGGAAGCATATTCCATATGCAGGTCGGGATTACCTAACTCACACCCCCTCTTTGTGTACCCCTCTTTATGTACCCCTCTTTGTGGACCACACAGATATAATATTAATACGCTTTTAAAGGTTTTATATAAAGCAAGGTTGTCTAGGGGTATATACATCGACAATGAAAGCATAGCCTTCATATAGGGCTTGAAATAATGATAGTCTGTGTCATGAGCATAATGCAGACATGCGGTTAGGTACTTTTCCATTGTTATAATATATTGAAAACAATAAGACCTTACAATTTTTTTTAAACGCATATTGCTTCCTGTACCTGTTGCCGTGCAAGGATGTAGTTGGGACATATTTCAAATTGAGTATCAAAAGTCTAACCACAAAACTAAATGTTATACGCTTATCAAGAAAACAAGTTTAACCCATTAGTGCATACTTTGGATAGCCTCTTTGCATAATTTGGCACCTAGTGAGATTATTATATTATTTATTAATCCTCTTCTGGATCTGCAAAATGCTTTCAATTTACCCATACAAATATAATATAGTAGTTTAGGAGATTAAAATTACCTCACTTATAAATTTCAGAAATTGTCTAATCTCTATTAAAAATACCATGTTATTATTACCCCATAACCAATGAGGCATTCTAGATGAATCTTACTTTGACACAAACAATGCAATATACTTTAAAAGTAGAATTAACTCCGAGCTGGACAATACTCCCCTATTAGAACTCCTTTATGTGGGAGAGACATCTTGTCCATTCAATCCTTTTTATCAGTAAAAGAATGACTTTCAGGATTAATCAATTTGCAAATGGAAACGTGGATCCACGATTTGAACAGCAGAAGTTTGCCGGGCCCCTTTCACGTGAGATGTAACAAGCGCTTTTCTTGCTCCAGGAGCGATAGCATACAATTGTTTCATTCTAGCCGGCTGGACAGCATTTCACCTTTTGTAAAAACTCTAAATGCTTGCGTTAATGATATGCAAATCACTCTGCTAGTTAAACTCCTACACAATGGATAACAAAATACATAAAACACACAACACACCAATTAATTTCAAACTCTATAACTCATACTCAGCATCCAATGTAATATTACATGTCATCTCACAAAACAGACATCTCACAAAACAGACGTAGCAGAAAACACATAATGGATACCCAGCAGATATGCCAATACAGAAAACACATTCATGGGCATGCAACTACACACTCTGTGTCCCTGCTAGGAAACACGGGTAGACACAATATGAAAGCAGTCTTAAACTAACACCTCCAAATCTCCATTCCCATATAGCTATATCAGACCACAACACAGAGCCTCTCTGAGCTCATAGAACTACTCCAACTCCAACTACTCTTGGCCAAAACACTAGTATTCAACAGCTAATAAAACAGTTATTTGCTAGGTTATTTGGCTGGCATTCTTATCAGTATCACTAGACTGAGACAAACTGATTCAAATATAATTTAAAACAACACAGCAACATATAAATTAAACCACTTTCCAGTTAAGCTGCACACTTCACACATTATCACAATCACCATTTACACAGAATAAACAGTTAACAGCTGTACTCAGAACATGTTATTGTAAGGTATACCAATTTTAGTTTGCATTAGATTTATTTTAGGGATTCTTATGTATACATGTTTTTTTTTTAAATTCTAATTAAAGTCATTACTTTAATCTACTATAGTATTGTATATAAAGAAAGGATCCATTTATATAGCGCGCTCAAAACTCAAATATTTGTATGAAACTTCCATTAACTAATCTGAGATGATGCTGCATCAATTTAATTCTTATAGAAATTGAGCAAACATTTGGACCAGATTACACAGACATGGTTTCACCAGAATCTTACAGAACTCTCAGAGACTTAAAAAATGTATAGACCGGTCAGTCTCCAAGAGCCTTAGTAACACAGGTAAAAACCTTTTGTCCATAATCTCTGATCCAGGCTATATACCACAATTTAAAAGAACACATAAATTGTGAGACATAGAAGACACAAAACATATGCAGTAGGTGTTTACACTGGCTCGTTTAAAGCATCTGTCACAATAAAAAGGTTAGCTTACAGCACAAAATGAAGCATGTGTTGGTCCGCTGAAAATTTAAACGTTGCTCTCTTATTTACAAACAAAAATCATATTAATAGTATGGATCATTTGCAACAAACACACAGGGCAGGGAAGATGTGCTGATTGGTGTTCTATACAATTAATCCCATATGGGGAATTAACTTTCAAATACTAACGAAGTGACCTTTTCTCTCAGTATAAAAATACTGAGCTCATCATGCAAACAATGCAACACATTTACACTATCCCACTCTCATAGAAAGTGTAGTGGGCTTATGGTATTAAAGTAACAATCATACCAGGCACACAGATCCCATGTGAAATAACTTACAATAAAACAGAGTAATACGCTTATACTTCTATGTGACATAAAGAATAAAGCAAAAAGAGTTTAACTATTTCATATCCTTACAGTCAGCACTAATGATTATAAACCTTATCTAAGCATAAAATACATATGAACAAGAAAAGTTAACTACTTCATATTCTTGCATGGTAATTTCCCATTTCTAGGACAAATCTTTCAAACACTTATTCACACTCACAACCAGACTTAACTAATGACAATTAGAGGGTGGACAAGGTGAACCTGAAACTCTGTGCACACTATCGTAGTATATTCACTTATATACTAAATTCTCTGTCTATATCACTTTATAGACTTCCTTTTATCTGTCTAATTCTCTTATTAGACCTTCTCTAGTTCACTTACTAGAAATACATATATCTCTGTCTAGTTCTCTTACTAGACTAAATTCACGGGATCTTATAAAGACTGAGTCATATAAAATACACATATAAAACTATAACCTTTCCTAAAATGATCTAGACTTACAAAACCATGGGGGTCATAGATTCAAGGCGTCTAAAAAGACACAGATAATTACTACTTACCACCAATGGTCAGCTAGATCCCTAGATCCCACTTTCTGACACCAAGCTGAAAGGCTAAACTGATGACTCGATCCCTTCTGGTCACGGTTCTCCAACCCTCGATTGTCACCTGAGCTCAGGGAAGAATTAAGGAAGCAGAATAACGAGACAGACACAAGATTGCTTTCCAAAAGTCTTCTGACAATGTATTCAAAATGCTCTGTACTTATACAATATTTGTCACGAACATTGGTTACAGAAAGTTACACAAGATACATAAAAGAGGAAGTACTTTCTGCTGTTACATTCAATAATCTGATTTTACAAAAATCACATGTACATTGTGGTTAGGCATCTCCTGATACATAAAAACTGTCATAGCTTGTGACTTCCTTTGAGTTATGTTTTGTAAGCAGTTCTAAAAAGAGCTTGCTACTACATTTACAAAATAATTCATTTCTACAATACTAACAGATTAACTGTTTCAATTCCTTCAATCATATGATCTTTAACTATCATGTTTCAATTATTCATCTGGGTAATTAGCTATTATGCTCTTATACGTAAGTTTAATATATTAGTTTGTAGGGCAGACTGCAGCTGCATATGGCATTTTAGCAATAATCTTCAATTACGTTTCAGATATTTACAAAGTCTATCCACCTTTGTAATTAACACATTATGTGTTTCTTATACCATTAGTTATAGTATCTATATTATATTACACATTGTCACTGACACATTTCTGATACAGGGAAAAAATAGCATGATTGCTTTAGTAATTATACATTTTCTGTCCATGCACCACATTCCTGGAAGTCCAGAATATAGCTAGAATCCTTTGTCGTTTGATTCCATGGAGCCATTTAACGTTTTGATTGGTATAGTTATACCAAAAGAGCAAGGAGTACGACGGTAGATCGCATCTGCAACAGAACCATTACAGATTCCTTGTTGTATCAATGTCTCTGTGTTTATGTTTACAGGAGTTCCTTGCTTTGCAGGCATGTACATAATATGTAGAGTTTAAGAAAAGCTGCAAATCGTGCTTTAGTACAAGTGTCCCATGATGTCAGGTTTCTGAAAGATTTTGCTGGCTTTTTATATTCCATTCTCTTGGCAGGGCATCTGCTCTTAGTAAGCCGGTATTATTATTTATTAATTGCATCAAGGTTTCTTTCGTTAATTGATGTGTTTCTTCCGAATTCAAATTCATATGCCACCAAATGTCATTGTAAAGTTCATTGTTACAGAATATTGTTCCAGGATGGTTTTTCACTCCAGTAGGAAATCTATTTTCCTCTTCTTCTGCTCCTTCATTTAACCACTTTTTCTGAGTTGTAGGCAACAATCTGTGTCTTGTACTGTGAGGTGCTTTGATAGTCAATCAGGTTTTCTCAGTACCATCTTCCATCTTAAGAAATAGCTGGGTGTTGACAGTTATCAGCCTTTATTTCTTTTTCTGGTCATCTTCTGTCTGGAAACATAATAGCAATGTCCAGAATTAGCATAGCACTTCTTTTCAGCATAAGAAGGCTGTTTGCGGTAGTCACTCAATGATAAACTATATGGCAAAGTATTTTCTTAATCACCTTCACAGGTGCATCCAAAGTCTTTCATAAACATCTTTCCCGTCTTTTTCTGTTTTCAGCATGCTTTGCCATCATCGTTGATTCCATTATTAGGATTTGTAATTGTCCAATCACATCTTTCTCATGTATAATCAGTTTTTGGAATGATCTCAATAGGTTCCTTGTGAAATACTAGTGTGGGTCAAATTAGCAATCATTTCACTGTGAGCTGGGACTCTCTTTTTGAGATGGTTCTTGGAGGTAGTCCTCACGATCACAGAACTTGTATAGTGTGTTATATAGTCCTGCTTGTTAACATAATCCCAATACAGTTTTAAAACGACAGCTAGGGTTGATGTTATGATAATGCTGCAGATTGTAAGAAGGAGACACCATAACCAATTTTCTAGCATCCTTTTGCTTCCATCTTTGCATTTCTTTCTTACTGTATAAGATAATTCAGGTTCAGTCTGTTTTCTCCAGAGTCTTTCTTATAATGATGTTGATTCATTTTTCATACATTCCATGTTAACTGTGAATGTATCACGTCTGTCTGTTCATCCTTCTTCTTCACATTTGCAGGTTCAGATTTCAGATCATGATTCAGTCTGTTACATGGCTATGATTCTGGTGGCTTTTCTGTCATCCTCTGTTTGTTTTATATTGCCATCTTTAACAGCATCCATTGTGTCAGTCAGTGGTTCTGTGAATGTCCTGTTAGTATTTAGCAGGTTGTAAAATATCAAAACTTACTCTTCCTGTTGGCTCTGATTGTTCTCTGTAGTAAAGGTTCTCGGAGTCACCCTCTCCAGGACAAGCTGGCCAACAGTAGGAAATAGGTGATGGTGCAAGGCGAGTTGGGCTGGAAAAAAAAAATTCCCTAAATTTCTCTAATAGAACCAATGGTTCTAAGCTCTCCCTGGTGCAGAAATATGTTTGTCAGAGAAAAACATGTAACATTTCATATGGTGTCTCACCATTTGTATCATCAGGTATGTTGTGAATGCTCATCTGTACCATGGGAATAAATAGATACCACTGTGTGGGGCAAGCAACTAGTAACTTGGTTAATAATCATTTAACCTCAGCATTCTCCCAGACCACAACCCCACTTCTTTGGGGGTGGTTGGCGCACTGAAATCCCAAAGTAACCCAAATGTGGTTACCCAGTTTTAGGTTTCCCTTGCAGTAACTGCAGGACCACCATCCAAATGGATGGTCCTGGGATTATCAAATGCATACTAAGGAAGTGAGACTAGAAAACGTGGCATCAGAGGTTGCACTTCGCACAGGATATATCCAAGTAAACCTGGTACATGCATCAACACATACAAAAACATATTTATAACCATGAGATGTTGGCGAACTTCCAATCTAGTAATCCAAAAAGTACGTTAGATATTAATATTTCAATAAACAGTACATCAGTAATGTGGCAATAAGCAAATGCTTATGATTACTAAACACATGAATTACAGTATTTCCCATATTGGACCACCAATATTCCTTTTCAGGTGTCAGAAGTACATTACCTCTCTCTATAAGAGCTTGTCCTAGCCATGAAAAAAGCTTTTAGGGCAAGTTTATCTTTCCTCTATAAGAAGAACAACCAACATATTACCTAAAATGGTTATTATGTAATTAACCCCTCTAAACGATAGGAGTATTTATGCGGATACCAGGTGGATTATTTCTGGATATCCTTGCAAGCATAAACTCTGCATCATGACTGAGAGATAGGGTATGCTTTTGTGATCCAGTGACCACAGAAGAGCGTTGGTAGACACATTGCATCAAAGTGCCTGTTAACCCCTTAAGGACGGAGCCAAATGTACACGTTGTGAACAAAACAAAATGTAAACAAAACCTGGCATTTGCGCTACATGTCTGTCCAACCGTAATACACCTCTTTCATAGTAAATGCACCCACCCTTATTATATATCATTTTATTCAGGGGAAACAGGGCTTTCATTTAATATCAAATATTTAGCTATGAAACATAATTTAATATGAAAAAATGGGAGAAAATACGATTTTTTTTGATTTTTTTAGTTCTACATGACATTTTAACGGTCAGTGTCATAATACTGTTTGCTTTTACTGCAATAAAATACACATATTTATATTCAGTAAAGTCTCACGTGTAAGACAGTACCCCCTATGTACAGGTTTTATGGCGTTTTGGGAAGTTACAGGGTCAAATATAGCACGCTACATTTGAAATTGAAATTTGCCAGATTGGTTACGTTGCCTTTGAGACTGTATAGTAGCCCAGGAATGAAATTTACACCCATAATGGCATACCATTTGCAATAGACAACCCAAGGTATTGCAAATGGGGTATGTCCAGTCTTTTTTAGTAGCCATTTGGTCACAAACACTGGCCAAAGTTAGCGTTAGTATTTGTTTGTGTGTGAAAAAATGCAAAAAACGCCAATTTTGGCCAGTGTTTGTGACTAAGTGGCTACTAAAAAAGACTGGACATACCCTGTTTGCAATACCTTGGGTTGTCTACTACTGCAAATGGTATGCCATCATAGGGTAATTTTCATTCTTGGGCTACCATAGGGTCTCAAAGGCAACGTAACCAATCTGGCGAATTTTAATGTGAAAAAAATGAAACGCAAGCCTTATATTTGACGCTGTAACTTTTGAAAACACTATAAAACCTGTACATGAGGGGTACTGTTATACTCGGGAGACTTCACTGAACACAAATATTTGTGTTTCAAAACAGTAAAAAGTATCATAGCAATAATATTGTCCGTTTAATGCTGTTTGTGCGTGAAAAATGCAAAAACGTCACTTTTACTGGCGATATCATCGTTGTAATACATTTTACTGTTTTGAAACACTAATATTTGTGTTCAGCGAAGTCTCCCGAGTAGAACAGTAATCCCATGTACAGGTTTTATGGTGTCTTGGAAAGTTATAGGGTTAAATATAGTGCTAGCAAATTAAATTCCCTTTACTTTCGGCATGGGTTGTCATGCAGGTCCTGCTAATTGTAATTAATTAAGATACCTAATTATGTAAAAATATTACATAAATATATATGTAGAATCAATATATGTATATATATACGTATGTATATATGTATATATCTATATAATTTTTTTTAAATATTTTTATTTATATATAGGTATATATATAGTGATATATACGTATATATTTATGTGTATAAATATATATATATTATTTCGTTCTATGTGTATTT